AAAAAAAAAAAAAAAAAGAAAGAAAAAAAAAAAAACTCCAGACCCCCCAAGAAGGGACTTTGTCTGTGTTATTATCTGCTGTAACCTCCACCCTGCTGTAATTCAACTGTAGCCCGTATGCAGTAGGTGCTCAATAAGTGTTTCCTGGGCCTGGCACAGAGCAGGTGCTCAATAAATGTTGGATGGCTGCATGAATTCGAGCAGTGCCCCTGCCCCCATGTCTGAGAGCCACTGCTCTCTGATGGGTGACGTACATCTGGCCGCCCCCACCAACCCTGTCCTTGCCTGAGAGAGGGGAGGCGTCCCAGGAGGAAATGGGGGCGCACTCACCGATGTACTCCTCCACCTGGACATAGCCATCTTTGTTTCTGTCCAGGTCTTCCAGGGTTTCCTGGGAAGAGAGAGGCATTGAGGCTGAGGGCCGATGCCCCTGGCCCCTGGAAGAGGCTGGACCCCTGGGGTAAGAGTGTGAGGTTTTCTTGGAAATTTAGCTCCAGTCAGCCGTAGGGGCAGGCAGTAGAGCAGTCTCCACAGGCAGCACGTGGAAAATTTGGGGGCTTTCTGGGATGTTATGATGATACAGGCACTACCTGCATCTGGGGGGCGAAAGCCGGGGATCCCCAGTGTCCAGTGATGCACAGGTGTGTCGCACACAGGGAGAGCTGATCTGGGTCCCTAAAAACTTCCTCAAGCCCCAGCAAACTGCCTCGAAGGGGAAAAGCTCCTTCACATTTAGCAGAGCCTAGAACCTACATCTGCTTGCCTGCTTGCTTTCTCTCTCTCTCTCTCTCTTTCTTTCCTTTCTTTTTATTATTGTATTTTATTTTTGAGACAGACTCTCGCTCTGTCACCCAGGCTGGAATGCAGTGGCTCGATCTCGGCTCACTGCAACCTCCGCCTCCTGGGTTCAAGCGATTCTCCTGCCTCAGCCTCCCCAGTAGCTGGGACTACAGGCGCGAGCCACGACGCTTGGCTAATTTTTTATTTTTAGTAGAGACAGGGTTTCTCCATGTTGGCCAGGATGATCTCGATCTCTTGACCTTGTGATCCGCCCACCTCGGCCTCCCAAGGCCAAGTGCTGGGATTACAGGTGTGAGCCACCTCGCCCGGTCTATTTATTTTATTGTTTTGAGACGGACTGTTACTCTGTCTCCCAGGCTGGAGTGCAAGCACACTCTCGGCTCACTGCAACCTCCGCCTCCCGGGTTCAAGCAATTCTCCTGCCTCAGCCTCCCAAGTAGCTGGGATTACAGGCACCTGTCACCGTGCCCAACTAATTTTTTTTTTTTTTGATACAGAGTCTCCCTCTGTCGC